ACTAGATTCGAACCCAGGACCTATCGGTCTCGAGCCAGAGCACTTAACCGACAGACCACTGAGGCGACATCCAACGATGTTAATGTCTAACTTCAACCAATCCACGATGTTTGAGCAATCATTCGCCAATTGTCTTCAGTTAGTTGATATCTCTACAACAGACGTAGTTGAACTCCACTGGTCACTGCTTCCCACTAGAACTCCAGGAAATATCTCTTGAAGTCAGTCACTAGTGAGTATATGATTATAGATCAGAAGGGGTTTTTTGAAGATTTCAGTATTTTTATAGTTGAAATCATGCTCTAGCGCGAGACTGTTAGGTCCTGGGTTCGAATCTAGTGAGGCGAGATCGTGGACGCGCACTGCTGAGGAGTCCCATAATAGGACGAAACAGCCGTCCAGTGCTTCCAGGTTTTCTTTCATGGTGGTCTAGCTTCAATTGACTCATGATTTCAACTATGAAAATATTCGATTTCTAAAATACTTGAAATCGATAAAAACACCTACTATCCAAATATGATAGTATGTTCAAGCTATATCACAATAAATACCTATTTCTGCAGATTGTACGTTAGAGTACTCAATTTCATTTACTGTATAGTCAAAGGTATTTGTGTAGCTCTATATGGTATTCTCTAACTCTAAACAAAGGAGTGGTAAAGCTTCATTGAATTAAAGTTGATGTTAATTAGCGGTGAAAACCCTATAGGATCATAATCCTTATTATCAACCCTAGCCTAACTTCTAATATGTAAACTAGACCTTATTCCTTTACCATAATAAATTATTAAGTCAAGGATGATTAACCATATCCGAACCACTATTCAACGGTAATTTTATTGCTTTCAATCGTTAGTTGTTTTATAACAAGGCAGTGCTTCTTGATTGGCTGATAAGTAGTGTGGTGTTCATAAGAATCAATGATTCCCTTGTATTGATGACTGTTTTGATTTTGAATTCCAAATACAGTACATTCGTTCGTGCTTATCTAATACTTCTTGATTGCATTGCGTTATTGCTGGGATTACTAAGTTATAATACAATTCAAATACTTCCGATTATCACATTTGCGTCGCAATGGAGCCTGTGATGGAACACTTGGATAAGCGTTCAGATTTCAATGCTTTTGAAGATTACATGGAGAGGTTTGAAATCTAGGCTATAATCAAGGAAGATGATGATGATTTTAATATTGTGACTCATTTCCTTACATTCATCGGAAAAGAAGCATACAGCTTAACAAAGATTTTGTCATTTCCAGGCAAACTTCTTTCACTCTCCATTGCAACTCTCAAGCAACTACTACTGGACTATGTAAAATATACAAATTTCGAATGCAGTAAAGGAGAAAAGATTCAAAAACTGATTCCTTAGGACACCAGGAACTCCATTACTTTACTACGTGGTCGCAGTCCAATAGGTAACCAAAGTTATTCAGATAACAGCTAATTAAATTGTGAAACACAAGTTTGGTAAATTCTTGTTCTGTGGCAAGTTTCACCTATGTAATTCATGTGTATTTCGTAATTCTGAATGCTTTAAATGTGGTCAAACTGGACACATTTAGTCAGTATGTAATACCATGATTCATTTCGTTGAAACTGGTGTTAAAATTCGTGATTCTACTAACTTTTATCACACTGATATTCAGTAATATATTGCAAGGTAGGTCAAATAACTATCTTACACAACTAAAGTCACCGTCGGATGCCGGCTCAGTGATCTATCGGTTAAGGGCTCTGGCTCGAGACTGGTAGGTCATGGGTTAGAATCTAGTGAGGCGAGGTCGTGGATGCGCACTGCTGAGGAATCCCACAGTAGGATGAAATGGCCGTCCAGCGATTCCAGGTTTACCATGGTGGTATAGCTTCAATTGATTCATGATCTCACCTATTAAAATTACGATAATATCCACAAAACCCCTTCTGATATAAATGTCTATGGACATTGTTAAATAAACGTTTTCATAAAGTGTGAATGGTTTTCATTCCACAATCTTTAGTTTTTCCACTTTGTAAATCAATCAACCAGAGAAAATGAGCGTCAAAATCTCATGGCTTAAGTTATCCTACAAAACATTACGACACAGCTTGTCATCTTAGCTCATCTCATAACTTTGCTATTTCTACCTGATCATACTAAACAGCTTCCAGCTGAAGAGGAAATTAGGAAAAGACGTTAAAAGTGGATGGGACATACATTAAGGAAATCACCAAACTGCATCACGAAGCAATTCCTAACTTGGAATCCTGAAGGGAAGCGGAAAAGAGGAAAATCAAAGAACACATTAGGCCGGGAAATAAAAGCAGATATGAAAAGGATGAATAACAACTGGTAAGAACTGGAAAGGATTGCCCAGGACAGGATTGGATGGAGAATACTAGTGTGCGGCTTATGCTCCTTCACGAGGAGTAACAGGCATAGGTAAGTAAGTATACTAAACAATAAATCACTGACATTTGAATAATCAGGTCAATGGTTAACTTCTAATCTGTTGATTAACTTTTATCTGTATGCATTCCCTTTACATAAAACATACCTATCACTTATTCTTGAAGTAAGATAAACTCTTTTACAACACAGTTTATCGAAATCGTTTTCAGTCTATTTAGAAAATTGAAATAGTTGAAAGCGTGAGTCAATTGAAGCTAGACCACCATGGAAAACCTGGAAGCACTGGATGGCCGTTTTGTCCTATTGTGGGACTCCTCAGTGGTAGTGCGCATCCACGACCTTGCCTCGCGAGATTCAAACCTAGGACCTACCAGTCTCTGAAATAACCAAAAATAAGAGCAAGAATTGGGCAATTAAGGAAAGTTTAATTTACATCATTTTTTTTATTTGAGTCATATTACACGCCGTTACTTTATTGTTATACAATACATTATTATCATCATCAATGCGAATGTGAATCTTCTTTGTTACCACTTTCTTTTTCCCGCGACTTATCCAATTGGTTTATAAGTTGATGCCATTTGTTTCAAACCTGTTTTACTAATAACAATAACTTTTAAACCAAATAGGAAACAACTACTTACACGACATTCATTTACATATCTTTACTAATGAATTCATCTTTGTTGTCTAACACCTTACCACAGTGAAGTACCCCCAATGTTTCCAAAGCATGTTGATATCGATCTGAAGGAATTGAATTCTTTTTACATGGATCAAGCATGTTGAATATTGTCTCGGCATTATTTTCAGTAAACAATGTTGGCGGTTCTGCGAATTCATCTCGTGAAGCTTTTAATAATTTTAATTGTTCAATTAAATATTGTTTTGGATTTTCTAAAATGTTAATAAATTATTGATTAGAAGTAACTTTACATTATGAGATCATATGTAAAGATTAATATTTTTATTGTTGAAGTCGAGTCAATTGAAGTTAGACCACCATGGAAAACCTAGAAGCACTGGACGGCCGTTTCGTTCTATTATGGGATTGAAGACAATTGGTGGACGGTTGCTCAACTTCTTGGATCAGTTGAAGTTAGACATTAACACCGTTGAATGCCGGCTCAGTGATCTATCGGTTAAGTGCTCCGGCGCGAAGCAGGTAGATCCAAGGTTCGAATCTCGCGGGTGTGGGATCGTGGATGTGCACTGCTGAGGAGTTCCATAATAAGACGAAACGGCCGTCCAGTGCCTCCAGGTTTTCCATGGTGGTCTAGCTTCAGTTGACTCATGATTTCGACTATGAAAATATTGAAATATCCACAAAATCCCCTTCTGATCTATAAAGATTAATACAAAAGAGTTTTATGTGGTTAAAGACATGAGTCAATTGAAATTAGACTACCAAGAAAAACCTGGAAGTACTGGATGGCCGTTTCATCCTATTGTGAGACTCCTCAGTAATGCGCATCCATGACATTTTAAATGGCTAAACACAATTTTAAGTTAGAAGCAAGCAAAGTTGAGAATGAACTCAATCTATACACATAAACACACACATAATGATGTTCAACAAAGAATCATCTTGATGATTATGAAGCGAAATTGATATAATCAAACCTATTTTGATTTTGAAAAGGTTGAATTACAACTGGAAAGAACTGGAAAGGAAAGCTCAGGACAAAAGTGGATGGAGAATGTTGGTGAGCGGCTTATGCTCTTCGACGAGGGGTAACAGGCGTAAGTAAGTGAGTAAGTATTTTGATTTTGATTGAACTACATATTCTATGCTGTTACTCTATACTGTTCAAAATTGTATTAATTTAATTCGGTTATTTATTTATTCTGAAGAAGTGACCTGAACTAAGTTGAAGACCGTTAGAAATCTTACTTTCTTTTCATTGGAGTATGAAAGACATATCATTATTCTACTATGTTTTATGACGTAAGAGTAGGTTGGAAGAAAGCTAGGGGCGGTCAAACCAAAATATGGCACAAATCCATGAAGTCACAGACAATTGGACTGAACTATGTTGGTTGGTGTAGACTTCCTGGTTGGGATCCGCGAGATGATAGCAATCGATGGTTAGAGACCTTGAATGACATGGCTCAAATTGTTTGCAATGACGAAGGTGCATCCACTCTTTGTGTTCTGACAAGCTCTAATCTTTTGAATTCTTCATATCCCTTTCTTTTTTTCTCTTTCCAAACTTGTTTCACTGGATTATACTCCTACTTGGAACCTGCTGCCCGAAGCAGTGGTGTCTGCACCTTCAATTGACTCATTCTAGAGAAGACTGGACACTCACAGAAGCATACTAGAAAAGAAACAACATAGGCCGTAGGCCTTCTGTCTTTACTAAACAAATCTGAACCTGAAATCAGATAAACACCAATTTAACACTGAGTTGTTACAAAGAGAAGAAATAATTACTTCCTATTGACAGGAGGCTGCGAATTCAAGTGTGAGAAGCAATATTAACAAATGACGACCACATGTGTCAGGTTCTGTGGTAAACCTGACTGATATATATATATATATATATATATATATATATTAAAATGGATATTTTAGGAATAAAATGGGTTGTATATATACCTACCTGGCATTTGATAGAACAAAGAAGACGTCAAGTTCTGGAGCATTTCATCAATCTTATGCTCTTTAATGTAGCGTTCGACCTCCAATTTTCTAGGACAATCTTGGCAAGTCATAGATTGCATTGGATAAATCACTTAGGTGAATTAAATGTTGTAAGAAGTCGCGTTCTGTGTGGTTGGTAGCCACTCTGTCTTCTGCGTTGCGTTAGGTCTGTAGTAAATTCGCGTCACACCTGAAAGTCGTTAGGGCGAATTAAGAGTGAAAGATAGCATGACAAGTGTAACATTTACCCGACAAATTCTAGAAGTGGGATTAGAATGACAAAAATAAACAAAACAAAAAGGCTGAAATTAAGAGTATCTAATAATTGTAACTGTGATGCAATAGAGCAAAATTACATTTTTGTAACGTTCATGGCTTGATAAGATTGGGTCTAGCCCCAAGGAATATTGCGTTGTGGGGTGTCAAAAGTCATGTTTATTTAAAATAACCTACTAATTAGTAGGCAAACACTGCACTTACATTATTAGGTAAAGCAACTGTCAAAAATTCTAATATGTTATGATATAGTCTAAAAGTTTAGGCGTGCTATTGTATACCAGATGACTTCTGTGGACTTGCTTCCCACTGTTTTCGTGTGATTTCAAAAACAGAAGCGGAAGATAAAGAAAAAACGATATTCAATACAAGAAATTTGTATGATTAGGTTTCGTATTCGGTAACCTGAACAATCAAATCACCACTTGTAATTTCCTACGACGTTTCTAATGGAAACAACCTCAATTCAATGTTCAGTATCCAATATCCGAAATTTTTGCCACAAACTTGCATAAACTAATTAATATTTTTGCGCTCCCTTTTTGTTGTTTCAGCACGATTTCAAGCATTTTGTACTGTTCAGTAAATGGTATTTCAGTTATTCGAGTACACTAATTATGGTCAGTCAGCTTGTGTTTCTGTATTCTAGATTAATGCTTATCGAAGAAAGACAGGTCACACTTCGCTTTTGTTTTTGAGCTGCCAACTCAGAGCATGTGGACATGTCGTGAAGAACGCTTGAAACGTCTTGTGATATATTTGCTTTGGTGTCAGGAGTAATCGGACGCACGGGGGCTCAGTTTCATGGAATCGACATTGAAAATGCAAAAGCATATAACCAAAATTACATGCAAAAACGGGGTAAGGAAGCCAAAATAAAGTGATGACGACCGTAAAACGTGGATATTGATGACCAGGACAATAGAGAGACACACGGGAATATGTTGAAGCTTGTAAGGCATATCAAATTACTGAGAGCCCTATAGATGAATCTTATGCACGCTTAGTAATTAAGAAAGCAGATCAATGGGACGAGATTGTGGAGATTGATATTATTGGACCAACCTATGAAATAAGTATATTTTAGATAGGGTTAATCACTTTATCAATCGATAAGGAGTTATTCCTCCCAACATTGCGGACGCTCAAACTGTTTCTGAAACGGCATTCGACATATGGGTTGGTATGAAATGGTTCACTTTGATGATGGAGCCCGATTTCCGTGTTTGTTTTCTGAACATGCATCGTTTTAAGGAACCATTTCTTTCTCATCAAACGCACATAGAGAAAAGGAAATTACTGTTCTCGCTTACTTTCTAACGTGAAGTCTATGGAAGGGCGGCATATGTTGAACGATTGTAAGATATCTTCTAATTCATTATTATCATCTTAAATGACAAATATACCTGTAGAATGGCCAGCTGACCAACTTGTACAGCTACGTTTTTTAGCAGGAAGAGAAATCTTATTCACTCTGTATGTTATCAAATAGTCGGATATATAGTACAGAATGCATTGACGAAGATCTCTCATACCTCGAGAAAACTCTGACAAAAAATGGCTATCCAGTCCGCTTCATATACATAGAGAAGTTCTCGTGACAAGGAATCCGGTTGTTTCGTTCCAAAGAAAAACCTATGTATAAGTTTGGAATTTAATGGCGAGCGAACATCTGGTGTAATCAGAAATTGTCTTCGGGAAGCAATAAGGAGAACATTCTGTAGGGCAGAACTTCAAATAAGGTTCACCAGTAGAAACTTGCTTTCTGTATACATAGAAGATATGCTTCCCCATCTGGTCGTCTCCATGTCCATCTACCGGTTCACCTTCTCTTGTAGAGCAAGGTACATTGGTTGTGGCCAGCGCTCGCTTTCAACTCGTATACAGGAACATGCCCCAATGTGGTTCTTCAAAGGTGAGAGTAAAACAGTTAGAAGTTCCATAGCTCCATATCTAGATGACTGCAATCAATCTACTGATTCACAGTCTGATTTCGAGGTTTTATATACGAGTCGTTTAAATCTACTTAGGTTTATTAGTACTCAACTTCTAAAAATAGCCGAAGCTCTTGCCATTCATGAGGTCACGCCAACACTATACGTACAAACGAAGTACGTCCTATTGTTATCGTTACCTTGACTCTAATTTATTATTATTATTACATTTCTCGCTTTATTTACGCATCATATTTTCATTGTTTTATTTATAATTTCTCATGATGTGGCTTACTTTATTTCGCACCTCAATTACCTTTAATTACCTACATTTATTGAAACAAAAAGTTTTAATAACCTTATTACATTCATGTCGTAATTCGCTAATATATTATTAAGTCTATTATTATCATTCGTATTACGGAGTCTAGTATTATAATTTTTCTGTCACATCGCCCTGGTTATTCCTTGTTCACATTTCCCCACGGAACTAGTACCTCAATAAAACAACATGTATATCAATGATTGCACAGTCTGATAATATATTCGTTCAAAAGCGATCACTTCTTTTTACTGTTTAGGTAAGAATTATCTGTCATTTGTGTACTTGGTTTGTATGAAGCCCTATTGCTCAGCAGTACACGAGTGAGTCTGACCAGCTCTCTGAGGACGAGTACCGGAATTGTGGATATTGGAGAATCATTCAACAATATTTGAGTTGACTTTCACAAATTAGGACCCATCATTTGATACTGATGATACTGATAAACTAAACGAATTCGATGTAGCTCTCAACGACAGGCTACAAGCATCACAAGATCAACTCAAAGAAGAGGAAACTATCATGAATGACAATTGGAAAGGGCTCAGAGAAACACTAACTTCAACGTGTCACGAAGTGCTGGACCACAAGAAGCATAATCATCATAAGAGATGGATCTCTATCGAAACCATGGACAAGATTCAAGAAAGTAAGGAAAAGATTACAGCAATAACAACAGGAGAACAAGAATAGTGAAGGTCAAGACACAAGCCGAATACAAAGAAGCAAACTATCAAGTGTGGTAGATCATCAGATCTGACAAGCAAAATACGTGGAAGAGCTAGCAATGATGGAAGAAGAAGTTACAGGATAAGCAAATATGAAACCACCACATAACACAGTATTTGAAAACCGATTATCTTTGCAGGTATTGGCAAGCACTCTGGTCAATGATACCTCGTCTTCCATTCCCTCAACTTCTTCTGCATCACCGATTGGATTGGCAAAAATACTCCCTAGTTATAGCGAAATTTATTAGTAACATGAATTCCATGAAGTCATATCGTGCATTAAAATAAACTACCCTTCTAGTAATAATAATAATAAAAATAATAAAAATAATTTATTCTCAAATAACAGATTGTTACATGAGGCATGCCGGTTTACAGGCAAGATTTAATTGTTAAAGAAGTTACAATTTTCACTGTTGAAAATTACTCAGCTGGGTTGATATTTCAAAAGATATGAATGCAAATGGATTTCATAAGAAACATGTCAATATCAATATCACACTTGGCGCACTTTATGGAGGTAGCGTTGCAACCTACAACTGGTGGTCGAGAATTGATAGATGCGAAGTTGGGGGCTTTTAGAAGTTTTGAACTTACATCCCTCCGGAATATCTGAGGCTTTAATAACGGTGTAGGACGAAGTCACCCGTGCCATATCTGTTTTCGGTGGAGTATCTGCAGGAGGCTGAAGAAGGTGTAAGAAAAAAGAAGGACGAAAAGCAGAGCACATGATATTCATGGAGGAATAGTTAATGTATAACCATTTAGTCTATTTGTCCGTTACTGAAGTATTTATTAGGTAAGAACATACTAATGTGTTAAAGAAAAACAAGTGTGGGCAAGGTATGAGTGGATAAGGAACTGTATAAATGAAGGTAGTTCAGAAGGAAGTATGGAATTGTGTAATTATAAAACAAAGTGCTGAAAACGGTATTACGATACAAATGGCTGTCTCCCTTTTTTCGAAGCTGTTTGAACTCTCTTTTTAGTTTTTAGATTTTATAGGGTATATAGTGGACTTCGTTTTTAGCCAATTGTCTGGTTTGCTTGTAATAGGATTACTCGGTAGGAAGTGGAACCAGTTTAGCTTTTTTTTAACATGATCTAAAGTGGTATTTTTCGTGAATAATTTCGCATCAATACCGTTGGTTCGTGACATCCCACATGACATAAGAAGCCGTAATTTAATATGTTCTGCCCCACAGACAAGGGGGGATTGGAGTTATCTCCCCACCATCTTGTTTGCTGGTCAGTAACGCCACCCTCCCTCCCTCCTTTTATAATGTTAGGCTTTCTTACGTTTGTGGTCAGTATGAATATTGCTTTAATCAAGGACCATAGTTGGAATACACTGTCTCTACAAGTTCCATGTTACAAGCGAATCAGACGGTAATAGCATTTGTATTATGGGTTAGATATCCATTTAATATATCGTACTACTATGAAGATAACTAATGGTAAGGGTTAGAAGAGACAAGTCAGATTATATAAGGTTAAGAGATGGTAAGGGCTAATAGCAAATCAGAGGATATGAAAGAGGATATTGTAAAATTTTCAGGGTAAGGAAACAAAACATTGAACAACTCGCAAGAATTTAGGACATTTGAGCTTCTTTTGATCGGCCTTAGTTGGTCAGCATCCATAAGATTAGTGAGTTATCTGTCTACTTGTAATAAGAAAAATAAAAGGACATGACACTTAGGAAAAATATTTTGGATTTATCCATTAGAGTGATTCGGAAACCGAAAATGAGTGTTAGGAGCGGAAGGCCATGGGGGAGGATGAAGCATGTTTTCTTTAGTTTTGCTATATTCAAACTAACGACAATGGAGTTCGTTATATTCTTGTTCCGTCTAGATATTGTGCGGTCCATAACAAAGTGCCTCATTGGTAGGCGGGATTTCAAGAAATAGTTGAAGTTCTTTAGAGTTTAGTAACAGGATTATTAGCCTTTTAAATTTGGTGAAGGTGTCACATTTACTGATAGGTATTGGCAATCTGTTCCACAATAAACTATACCGAACTGTAAAAAACCTAAAGCGCATTTGTTTTTGGTGTTTTTCTGTAAATAGTGCATTGTTTCTTAGTCTATAGGCTGGGTTATTGATCGTAGTTGGGCAGGAGGTTGAGAATGACAGTCCATTTATTGCTTTGTAGAGAAATATCAGATTGTTCCTTAACCTACAGTGCCATAAAAATTCTAAAGAGAGGTGCTTACATGTACTTGTGTAATCAAGAGTGGTGTCACTTCCCAGCAGTTGGCGTGTAAAGCGTCTTTGAACATCTTCTACTCTTATTTTGTCAGTGGTATTCATTTTAGAGAAGATAAAAAGCAGTATTCTAAGGAAGGTCGTACACATATTTTGTAAAGGGTAAGCTTAGCATCTGTCGTGAAGATATTTTTCGTTATGAAACCAATTAGACGTCTGGCTTTAGAAATAATAGAGGAGGCTCGTGCTCATCCAGACCACTTCCAATCTATGGTATTTACGTGATTGGACATAGTCTGTTTCTAGAGACATTCCTTAAGATGAAAACTGGGAGTTTGAAAACAGTTTTATTGCATCTCAGCTCATCACAAAGATTATTGCCAAGGTAGTCTCATCTCCTCTCGAAGAGACTCTCTGTCTTCACTCCCGAGATAGAACGCTCAGGTATGAGCACACTTATAAGTCTGCTATTCGCTTCCACCGTCCCGGCCCATATGACTGCAGCCCACTCAATAGAAAATTTAAGAAATGGACACCATAAATATGGATGACCTGATGGTTTAGATCTATTCACTTGATATATAATTTGACTACAATTAAGTATGAAGTGACGCAAACTGTACCTTTCAGCATGCATAAAACATCACGTTATATTTACAGCCACCATAATTACTCGTCTCTTCAAAAGAGATAAAAATCCCTTTGACCAAGTACAGAGACGATAGACCAGGTGGACAATCGGTCTGTGAGGGCTATGACTTCAATCTAACTATGTTTGTTGGCCAGAACATTTTCTTTGTATCAGGCTCTTTATGATTGAGAACAAGTCAGTCAGTCTGTGGGATTGAGGTTGCTCTCCTACACTCACCATTTAGACTCATGTTTCTAATTTTACGCTAGATTAGCTATTTTACTAAGGCAACCTATAGCACGCCAACTCGAAGTTTTACACTAGGACTATGTGGCTGGCATCAGATGAAAAAACTTTTAAAAATCAGACAATAAAAGATATAATTACTATAAATAAATAGTATACTTGTAATATTCCAATGAGTAGAAAAATTCGATTTTTCGACGTGTCGTTACTTCATTTAAGCCACTTCTCCAGTGAATAAATAACCAGATTAAAATTCATCCAAGTTTAAATAGCACAACGGACTATGTAATGTGGACGTGTTAACACTTTGGAAAACATATTATGAGGACTTTACTCAGTGCAATACCTGAGCATAGACCTAATCATTAACGCTCCGAGACATCTGCACGAAAGAACTATTATCCACTTTCATTGATTACATTTATTTAACGACCCTATTTGGGAAGCATGATGTGAGCCAATAAATGTTGCGATTTGTAGACCATGCTCTTAAAAATGGCGTGTACTTGCAGAAATATACTATTATTATTAAGAGGCGTTTTGAAAAACAAATAGTTTCTAATGAATTATTACCTCACACTCAAACTAACTGTACCTGAAGCATGTCGCGTAGATTACTCACTGTTATCATTACCACAACTCACCAACTTATTATCTTGCTTATCATCATCAACTCCGTTTCCCCTCTTGTCCTCATACTCCAGTCTTCTCACATTAACTGCATTACCGATCCATTAACTTATATACCTACTAATCCACATCTCGAGACAACGGTCCTACTTCTTTCGAATTTCGATTTTCTTTTCATTATTTCCCACACTGCAACCAACCAACTTCTAGTCTGGTAGTGTTAAAGTGGTCAGCATCCATTTTCAAGAACATACAGAGCTATTATGGATAGTGGCTAGCAGAGCAATCCAGGATGCCTGTTTCGTCCTGCTTGGAAGTCGTCAGCTGGATTCGCTTGCATCTCAGAGTTGGCGTTCATTCTGAGACTCTGACCCTGTACAGTGCGCTTCATGTACAAGTAAACAACACCAAGTGAAACTAAAACTTCACACCATTGCACGAGCAGGTGGCTATTAGGAATCATTATCTAAGTAGATAATTCGATGGCGTTTGAAGCGAACAGTGTTGAGTTCGAGTCCCAGATTGAACACCAACTCTGAGATCCAGGTATTTCCAATTGAAGAATCCCAAATAAGACAAAATGCGCGCCCTGAATTCCATCGCTAGCCACTATCCATCTTTACTTATAATGCTTGTGACTTCAGGCAGTCAGCACTTGATGCACATATGTCAATAAGAGACTGGTCAATAGCAGCATTTGTTGGTAGTATGGATCGATCGTGTGCATAACTGTGACTAGGAATAATCTACAACCAGAAAAAGAAGTTACACAAACAGATAAATTAGTATTCCCGCCTTCTAACCTCCGTTTGCGTGTATTGATGAGTTGTGGTGTTGTAGGAGGTCTATACAAATGATTGGCATAAAAACATCTGCAACAATGAAAACCCGGTGGACTGATTTGCGTAAACCCATGTTAAGATAGGCGTACCATCTATCATGTGACTACAGGTTTTCCGTTTGCTGTCTGTAGGTCTAAAACGGATTCGTGGAGTCTGGACACTAATTTCTGAGCCAGTGTCTACGAGGCAGCGGACTTTTGCTATCATATCAGTGATGTATAACAGACGGCTGCGTTCACCGGCTACAGTTGCTGTTAATGCGTGCCGGCTGGCAATTTTCCTGAATTGTTTCACGTGTAGGTTGATTTCGGATTTTCTACATTTTCTGGAAGACTTTCCATACTGGTTATGATACCAGCACCAGCCGAGGTTATCCGTCTCTCGTGGTTTTCGTGAAGAAGTTCTTCACGAGGTTTGTGATTGTTTACGGTCATAACGAATGCAAAGATAACGTGTCAGAGTTTGATATAGATGAGTATTGGCATTCTGAGTCGTTTGAGGTTTTTCTTTGACTGACCTGCTTCAGTCTGGGCACCTGGGCAGTATCACAGCCCTCACACAAATCGAATGAGATTTGTGAGGCGCATATTTATCTGGTGCTTCATTGTACCAATTTTTATGTGTTTAAATAAATAAATAATAAATAATTTCTTTGACTGAAAAAACTTTGGTGTTAGAAGATTTGGTGATCTCTAAAATACAGTCGACAGATGCAGACGACTCGTCTACAGCGTTGTTTTGAAAGGAGACTAGCACAGCTTGCACCTGATAAGGAAGTTTAGACAAGCAAAATTCTCTAAAAAAGTCATCATCTAAAGTTCTTGGAACAATTACTTCTCTCATGTCTGTCACTAAATCGTTTTGTAGATCGATATTTTCAAGGGGTTTGATCTGACCTTTGTCGATCAGCTAGGTCTCCGCGTTTCAGACTGGATCGTTTTAGAGTTTCGTACTGTTACTGTAATGTAACGTACTGTTAAATTCGCACGGTCTTGCCTGTGTATCGTTCATTCCGTGCTCGTAGAAGTCGGCCTTTGGGTGGCAGAACCGGGCTTCGATGTTGTCCTGCCAAAAGGGCATTAGCTGAAATTAAGGTGGTGTTACTGTCTTGAACTTAGGTACTTTAGGTGTCTGTTCCGTCATGGTTAATATGAAATACAAGAATGAAGGAGGAGAAAAGACAGAATATACAAAAGTTAAAATTAAGCAATGATATGTAAAGTTCCAAAACGGAACAGACTCACAATTTACAAGCTAGTGTACCTGATCACGTCGGGCTCACCAATGAAGAATCCACGTGTATTTCTACTTTAACAACACTTAAACCGGTAACATCTTTCATAAGTGAATTCTGCCAACCCAGTTAAATCGAAAGTCAGAATTGAAGAAATTTTAAAATATATTTGATAGGCTATCAATATATCGGAAAACGACCTATTTAACTAGCTAGCGGTTGCATGAGAAATTGAGCACGGCTTTCCCACTCGTGATCTGGTGCGGATGCATAACCGAAAGTCTTCAGCTAGTTGAGCTCATTAAAACTAATGTAATTAACATCCAAGGTGGAAGACTTACAGAGCTATTTATTTTGGGGATTTATTTACCGCTACAGTGTGATAGCTACTGGTTCGAAAAACCCTACTACTCTGAGACAATTTCACTCGCTCAGATTGTAAGATATAGAGACACATAAATAACAACCAAACTGATCATAATCAGTGCAATTGTATGGCTAGACCTATTGGGAAATACTATTCATCCATTCTATCTCTAAAATCCATTATACTTTTATCAAGTAGGTGAATCCCCTGAAAGAACACGGATATTGGTTCTTATCATTAATAGATGAAATTAGGGAAACTAGATAGTTTATGTTAGTCAATTACAACTGTATTGGATATATTGGATATGCTTTGTTGTGGAGCGCATTATTAAAGATATAGCTACCGCAGGTGGGTTGGCTTTTCGTGTCTCTGTCGGATATTATGTTTAATGAGTTTATGTTCATAAGAATGGTATGCTTTTATCTACAGACTAAATTTATATGGTAACAACGTTTCAGTCATGGAACAGTTTGATACATTCCCAGACTTAAAGTTTAGTCTTGTCTTATTATTTTTAAATTTCTACTAATTGCGTTGCCTTTGGATATATAATGGTCTGCTTTTCATAGGGACAGCTAGTGATAAGCACGAGGCATTCTTGGACACTCAAGTGAGTCTTTTGTCAGGTGTATATGGTTTTCCTGCTAATAAAGTTTGATCTCGCTTGTTTTACGTAAATGAAAGGGTTGTGGACCAAAAATCGATGTATATCAATAATAGTCTTACTTAACAATAAATTACGAAATTTGGGATAATATTTTCAGTGTGTGCATACACAATTATTGTGCATATATGCGTATCAAGCTCATAAGAAATAACTATAAGTGCTTAATGACGAAAAACTAGTTAGTACAGGAAATTGCTATTACAATGTCAAATGAAAACTTATCGAAGCTATACGCGCGTCAAGTTTATATATCCTATTGTGTTTTAGACTTTAACCGACCTTTGTATTTCAGTTTGAAATGTCTGGATATATCGGTACACAACCTAGCCACTAATTATTATATTTTAATTTATTGAACACTTAAACATTGGTACAAGGAGGCACCAAATAGATATGCACCGCATAAATTATTCGATTTTTGTGATAGCTGAGATACTGCCGGGACGCCCAAACCGATGCAGGTGGTTTACTTAGGGGGCCTTTTATGTAAAGGTCTAATCCACAAGGCAGCGGGGCAACGTAAGGAGATGCAGTCATATGGTAGCCGGAAATCAACAGTTAGTTCATACGCTGTTTGGTTCTCTAGGATCCTGAAGCCCATGTGCACAATTGATTTGGAATCAGGGTTTTTCAATTCTGCTAGATGAATACCCCGTATCCACTACCGCAATTGAAGCGATGAACATTTGCTTTTCATCTACTCAATTTCGTAAACAACAGTAATGCCACAAGAAGTTAGTGAGTAGGAATTTCTTATCAGTGATTCTATACACGTGGTCATATGAGAGCATTTCGAGATGGAAAGTTGTCCCTACCCACCCTCAGCCGTACCAGGGTATTTGGGAGCACCTAGCCGCTGAACATTCGTCACACCTAAGGTTCCATGGTGTAACAATGCAATCAGCTATCGACTGCTAGATATACTAACTCCACACTTAGCTGTGGAATGATATGGTAACCTGTAAGCTACCATGTTTGAATATTCTTGGCAATCGCCTAGCTGCATCATTATCACCGCCGGATACTTTCACGTCCATTACATAATGCTATGGGATCAAAGATAACTATGAAGCCAAATTTAATGAGAGATGGCTAAGCTCATTTATATGATGTATTTATGAGAGGACCTTTTGCTTCTCTAAATTAGAGGCTATTATGTTTTATAACTCACTGTGACATTTATAACTAGCACCATGTTTTACAGCTCAGCTCTGTGAAATATTTTGTACGATCTCATAGTGCTCACAGTGGTCTCTACAATTTAGACTTGCGTCTCTACAATTACTTCGAGATCGTCAAACTTTGATCCCACGTCACCACTATGGTCTATGTGCATATACCAGTTACATTAAGAGGATTTGTAATTCCATATATCTCCCCACCTGTCTCTTTGTGTTGTTAGAAGCTCACTAAACGATTGTTACCTTTCTTAGTGCTATTAAAGTAAATAACAATTACTACAGCTTTCTATGTGTTCAGTGGTATCCATGAATTACCAGTATGTATGTATAACAAACCAGTTCAATCCTCAGAATGTGCCAATCACATACAATCTCTTTATTTAGAAGAGGCTTATTTCAGTCAGTGGTTGTTGCATAATGACTCTATATATATATATATATATATATATATATATATATATATATATATATATATATATATATATACTTGCACATCACTTCAGTGTGCTTTTCAACCTATTATTTTCTTGGACCAGTGTTCCCTCTGGACACTGGGGTGCTGTGTATGAATGATTAGTTTACAAAAGCGACTGAATTGATGCACAGTTCGTTCCACAAAGCTATTGCCTGTATACCTTCTCGGATAGCCAATACATCGATGACTACATAGATTTCACTTATTATGCTTTATATAGATAGTTGGGAATGCATTTAATTTCATACGAGAACTTAGGACTACTTGAATTGTGTTACGTAAAATATTGTTGGAAAAATCTTGTACCACCCTTTAGCATATGATTCTATAGGTGCACAGATATTAACCCTACTATCTATCTGGTTATGGGAACTCTTCGAGCTGGTATTCGAAGCAATCATGGCCTGTAAAGCTGCTATTCTTGTGGACCTGTGCCGCCATATGCTAGCTAATCTGTCTCTATCCCCGCAGTTTATCAACGGAAAGATAAGTATAAAGACATTTACTCCCTTAAAAATACACAACTTTAATTATAAAGGGAAGAAAATCTGTAACAGTTATTGTCGTGTTCTTCCGTAGTCTTTATTTGTTAATTTAAACTCTGAGATCCAGGTATTTCCAATTGAAGAATCCCAAATAAGACAAAATGCGCGCCCTGAATTCCATCGCTAGCCACTATCCATCTTTACTTATAATGCTTGTGACTTCAGGCAGTCAGCACTTGATGCACATATGTCAATAAGAGACTGGTCAATAGCAGCATTTGTTGGTAGTATGGATCGATCTTGTGCATAACTGTGACTAGGAATAATCTACAACCAGAAAAAGAAGTTACACAAACAGATAAATTAGTATTCCCGCCTTCTAACCTCCGTTTGCGTGTATTGATGAGTTGTGGTGTTGTAGGAGGTCTATACAAATGATTGGCATAAAAACATCTGCAACAATGAAAACCCGGTGGACTGATTTGCGTAAACCCATGTTAAGATAGGCGTACCATCTATCATGTGACTACAGGTTTTCCGTTTGCTGTCTGTAGGTCTAAAACGGATTCGTGGAGTCTGGACACTAATTTCTGAGCCAGTGTCTACGAGGCAGCGGACTTTTGCTATCATATCAGTGATGTATAACAGACGGCTGCGTTCACCGGCTACAGTTGCTGTTAATGCGTGCCGGCTGGCAATTTTCCTGAATTGTTTCACGTGTAGGTTGATTTCGGATTTTCTACATTTTCTGGAAGACTTTCCATACTGGTTATGATACCAGCACCAGCCGAGGTTATCCGTCTCTCGTGGTTTTCGTGAAGAAGTTCTTCACGAGGTTTGTGATTGTTTACGGTCATAACGAATGCAAAGATAACGTGTCAGAGTTTGATATAGATGAGTATTGGCATTCTGAGTCGTTTGAGGTTTTTCTTTGACTGACCTGCTTCAGTCTGGGCACCTGGGCAGTATCACAGCCCTCACACAAATCGAATGAGATTTGTGAGGCGCATATTTATCTGGTGCTTCATTGTACCAATTTTTATGTGTTTAAATAAATAAATAATAAATAATTTCTTTGACTGAAAAAACTTTGGTGTTAGAAGATTTGGTGATCTCTAAAATACAGTCGACAGATGCAGACGACTCGTCTACAGCGTTGTTTTGAAAGGAGACTAGCACAGCTTGCACCTGATAAGGAAGTTTAGACAAGCAAAATTCTCTAAAAAAGTCATCATCTAAAGTTCTTGGAACAATTACTTCTCTCATGTCTGTCACTAAATCGTTTTGTAGATCGATATTTTCAAGGGGTTTGATCTGACCTTTGTCGATCAGCTAGGTCTCCGCGTTTCAGACTGGATCGTTTTAGAGTTTCGTACTGTTACTGTAATGTAACGTACTGTTAAATTCGCACGGTCTTGCCTGTGTATCGTTCATTCCGTGCTCGTAGAAGTCGGCCTTTGGGTGGCAGAACCGGGCTTCGATGTTGTCCTGCCAAAAGGGCATTAGCTGAAATTAAGGTGGTGTTACTGTCTTGAACTTAGGTACTTTAGGTGTCTGTTCCGTCATGGTTAATATGAAATACAAGAATGAAGGAGGAGAAAAGACAGAATATACAAAAGTTAAAATTAAGCAATGATATGTAAAGTTCCAAAACGGAACAGACTCACAATTTACAAGCTAGTGTACCTGATCACGTCGGGCTCACCAATGAAGAATCCACGTGTATTTCTACTTTAACAACACTTAAACCGGTAACATCTTTCATAAGTGAATTCTGCCAACCCAGTTAAATCGAAAGTCAGAATTGAAGAAATTTTAAAATATATTTGATAGGCTATCAATATATCGGAAAACGACCTATTTAACTAGCTAGCGGTTGCATGAGAAATTGAGCACGGCTTTCCCACTCGTGATCTGGTGCGGATGCATAACCGAAAGTCTTCAGCTAGTTGAGCTCATTAAAACTAATGTAATTAACATCCAAGGTGGAAGACTTACAGAGCTATTTATTTTGGGGATTTATTTACCGCTACAGTGTGATAGCTACTGGTTCGAAAAACCCTACTACTCTGAGACAATTTCACTCGCTCAGATTGTAAGATATAGAGACACATAAATAACAACCAAACTGATCATAATCAGTGCAATTGTATGGCTAGACCTATTGGGAAATACTATTCATCCATTCTATCTCTAAAATCCATTATACTTTTATCAAGTAGGTGAATCCCCTGAAAGAACACGGATATTGGTTCTTATCATTAATAGATGAAATTAGGGAAACTAGATAGTTTATGTTAGTCAATTACAACTGTATTGGATATATTGGATATGCTTTGTTGTGGAGCGCATTATTAAAGATATAGCTACCGCAGGTGGGTTGGCTTTTCGTGTCTCTGTCGGATATTATGTTTAATGAGTTTATGTTCATAAGAATGGTATGCTTTTATCTACAGACTAAATTTATATGGTAACAACGTTTCAGTCATGGAACAGTTTGATACATTCCCAGACTTAAAGTTTAGTCTTGTCTTATTATT